CGAGAACAAAATCGCTATCGGGGCCAGATTCTCATCCCATCTACAACTGCATCGTGTGTGGGCAAGGATTTGACACAAACAAAAAGCAAGGACAGGGATTCTCAACAAAAAGATAGACAAGCAAGCGTAAGATCCATACATCCATACATCCATACATTCGACAATCATATACATAATGCAATCGAAACGGACATCGCAAGGACAAGTGGGAGCAAAAACCCAAGTCCAGATTCTAGAAAGCCGAAATGAAAACAAGAACGGGCAAACCGCCCGGAGCCGCAATCAAAATGTATGTACACAAATGAAGAGGGGGAAGAGACAAAGAAACAGCAAATCCGCGTCCATCGACCTCAACTCCCTCCTTCCCTCTCTCTCTCTTTGATGCGGACAGTCCGTTGTCTTGCACCAACCCACAAAGTTGTCACCCCGTCGGATTCGCCCATGCCCACAGTCCGTCGTGGCCCACGTCAATCCCGCACGTTCGGCACCAGCCCGTCGGATTCGCCCAACTCCCACTCTACTCACCTCTTACTTCGCTCGTGTGCCGACCATTCCTGATCGCGCAGCCGAGATTTATAGCATGCATGCATGCACAAAGAACACGGAATTACCAGGACTTAGAGTGGGGATTAGAGAGGGAGCGCCTGCGCTCTGCATGATCGGCCGCGGCGTGGGGGACGTAACCGTTCTCCACGCATCGATTCGAGCATGCCGGCCGCGACTTACAAAAATTTCAACAAAAGAAAGAGAGGGAGGGCGGGAGAGACGAAGTTCAAGAAGAAAGATATAGTTACAATGGCGCCCGCCCAAAATTACAGTTACACACACGATTAAGGGCGCCCACTAATCAGAGTACCGTTGCAGCCGCATGAAGAAGCGCGTAGACAAAAGGCGCCGCACGGCAGGAAAAATCCTAATTACTGAATTCCTAAATTCCTATCCAATGCGAAAAAGCAGAAAGCGCAAATTTCAGAAGGAAAGTCCGAAATTCCGAGAGTGATCGGGGGCTCGACTAAATTCGAAAAAGATTCAAAAGGAAATTAAAAAAGAACGAAGCAATTTCCCGCGCGATGTCCGCGCCCAAAAGATCGAAACCGAACCGAAAGAAACGTCGTCAACATTTATCAATCGTGTGCGCGCGCGGCGACGCGCCAGACATCCATCCGACCAATCAATCAACCGGCCGTCCCAAGACACACCCAGCTCCGTGCCCAGCCATTCGGAAAAGAAGCGATGAAAAGGACAAAAAAGCGAGGACACTGATACAATTTTCCACCGATCCCGATCTCCCGTAATTGGCCCAATCTTCCCAGCTTAGGACCCCTCGTTGCAACCGCGCAGAAAATCGCGCGTTACAGAAAGTGGTTCGTCACAACACCATACATGGGCCTCATTCTAGGACTCATTCTATCCTTCATCAGTACCGCCCTGCCTCTTCTACATCAAAATGAATCTGGAGGTGTTTGTGTGCCAGATTTATGATCTGGTAGGGCCCTTGGAGCGACGTGTGGGCCTCTAGTACCCCACATGGAAAACATGGGGCCCATAGTACCAACCTGCCGAACTTTGGGCGCCCAAAAGCGGAGTGGTTTTTGCGTGGGTGCTTTCTACCAGTTATCCATTGCCTTGCGCCAGGGGCTCTACCGGGCCCACCGACGTGGATGACTAGACTGCAGTCCCCGTCTAGACTGCAGTTACAAACTCGGCCCTGTGACTTTTCTGCAAGGAGGAGTTTGGACTGGATTGGAAATTTCAGATCGGACTGGACTCCAAAACTGCAGTTGAAATGTATTTAGGTACTCAAACCATGACCGCGCGCCCTAGTTCTCTGTCTCTTTTTTTTTTTTTTTTTTTTTTTTTTTTTTTTTTTTTTTTTAATCTTGCCCGTGGCCCAGCTACATGAAGAGATGGCTAGGCCATGCCCGGGATAATAAAAGAAGGGCTTCTTTCTTTTCGTTTTAACTTTTTTTTTATCTCAGGAGTGGCTGAGGCATCTCGGCCGTGGTCCAGTCTTGCGGCGAGATGCCTTGGCCACACACTGGGAAAAAAAATGAAAAACCAGCAGGATAAAAAAAACAAAAACACAGAAGGAAAAAAAAAGAAAAAAGAAGGGGGGAAAAAAACGGCCACGTGCCTGACTGAACTGCTGTTAAAAACCCGGTGCCATCTGTGGTGCAACTTTTCTGCAAAGCAGAGTTTCTACTGCACTGTAAACTTCGGACCAGACTGGACTGCACTGCAAAACAGCAGTTTGAAATGCATTTAGAAACTCAAACCATGACCCCGCCCTGGTTTTTGCTTCCTTTTTTTTTTTTCCCTGGCCGTCACCTTCAGGCCACCTGTGGCCCATTTTCCCCCGCACAAAAAAAATCAGAGCCCCATGTACCACCCGAAACCCCTGCCCCCCCCAAAACTTCTCCTTTCCTATTTCTTCTTAACAAAGAGGACCCAAATCCTTTCAGACGGCCCATCCAAACGGATCTGTCCGAATGGTCGTTCCTGCTGCCGTCCACTGGTAGACAAAGTGGGCGTCCGCACCCTGTTCTATGTCGATCTGTCGAAATACCCCATCTTCTATAGGCATTTAAACAACCAGTAAAGTCCTGCCCGTTAACAAGCCACAATTTTAGGACCGTAGTAAATACGGTTTAGGCAAGACTTCCACTGAGAGGGCTAGAGAAGAGAAAGAACGCCACTCATATGGCTGAATACTGCACATGTGTGATCGTTTATTTCTTATATCTATAATAGCCTTGAGGTTGACCCCTTTTCCTTAAGAACAAAAAAACAAAGAAAAGAATAACAAACAAGAGTCTGAAAACCAACGGGCCTAGCTCAGTTGGTACACCCACGAATCGTTGAAATACAGACTCTAGTTGGAATCCACTTATAATTACATGACCAACACAAAATCATTCTCAATGGCCTGGGGCTGGACAGTTCAATGATAACCTCAATGAATATCTCAAGGCCGTCGCCCTTTTTCAGAAAAAAAGCAAGAAGAAGAAGAAGAAGAAGAAGAAGAAGAAGAAGACAGAAAAACAGAAAAGTAAAAAAAAAAAAGAAAGAGTCCGAAACGTGGGTAATCCCTTTGGAAAAAAGAGCAGGAACAGAGGAAAGGTCGTTAATCCTCCACCGACACGCAGGCCATGTTACTGAATGCAGTGAATGGAGCAAACGTGCAACGAACGGACCATGCCTTCCAACCGTTATGGAATCACACAGGTACAATAAGATAACTGTATTGTTTAAATACCCAAAAACAGAAGAAAAAAAAACGCTCAGAAAATAGATAACTGTATAATCATGTAAATCCTAGGTCGGTTACTCACCTATTCACTCCATGCAAAGGTGAGCTTGCGAGCTTCCAAGCTCTTAGCGATTGGCGTGATCTTAAGCCTCCGTAACCTGGTGGACAGACAAGACCGGGTACAGTGAGCCCAACGCTCGCCCGGGGCTAAGTCCCACCTACACGTGTTTTTGACTTCTGGCCCTTTTTTTCTCCGGAAGCCCGGTAACCAAGACCTGGCTCCGGATCACAAGCATCTAGATATGGAGACGAGCACACAAGACTTAGGGAGGGATGGTGCCGCTACACAACCTGACAGTGATAATGCCGCTACACAACCTGACAGTGATGATGCCGCTACACAACCTGACAGTGATGATGCCGCTGCCGCTCCAAAGAGGCGCAAGACATGCGCATTCGGGAGACAAAAGATGCAGCGGACATGAAACGTAATTGCTCAACGATGGAAGGAAGAGGAGGGAGAGAGGAGTCAAGATACACATAAAAAGATTTGCAGAGACTCGAGAGGGAAAGGATATGGTAACACGGGAGCTTCAGAGGAGCGACATACGGACAAAGTCGGAGGAAATTGGAGCGACACAAGCCTGTCGTAGAAAGGAAGGGAGATAGGCATAGGAGATAGACAAATCTACACGCGGGAGAGAGGACACCATCTAGGCATAGGAGATAGACAAATCTACACGCGGGAGAGAGGACACCATCCTCTAAAAGAGAGTCTTGACACAAATCACCCAGAAAGCTGAAGCGAGAACGGCTAGCGAAATCTTCGTGGCTGTTCGCGCTTACACAGAGGCGCGCGCAAAACCAAGGGGATCGGTGAGGGCAAATGAGAGAGAGAGAGACATAGAGNAGAGAGAGAGAGAGAGAGAGAGAGAGAGAGAGAGAGAGAGAGAGAGAGAGAGAGAGAGAGAGAGAGAGAGAGAGATGTTGAGACTTAGACGGATTTTCAGTAGAGGATAGTGCTCCACAGTCAGCGCGGGCTGTAGTCGCTGAAGGCATTCGTGATCTAATTTAGCATCAGTTAAGTTCGTGCTGTGAGTACTAGGTTTGGAGAAAAGAGGTCGCAACTGAGTACGACCTTAAAAGAAACGTATCCAAACAAGCGACGTTCATTAACTGTAGGAGTTGGCGCAATCTGAAATGTAATCTAGAAAAGATGACGTTCCGGCGACGTAGCATGGACACAGCACGTTACAGCAAATCGTTGTCCTGCGGATATCTTTGAGAGTACAAGTAGGCATACCAGCGTGGTCCGAGCCAACATTTTTCTTCCTCAGGCGGGAAGAATACTGATTCATGTCGCGCCCAAAGTCACTCTGGCGGAGTCATTACCTCTCGTCGCCCTTGATATTCTCATTAACGAGTTTGCACCTATTAAGCTCTTCTACCATCTCCCAACTACTGCTGTGGATCCTGACAGGGAAGGGAAAAACAAGCTCTACAGGCACACCTACTGGTCGTTCTGAGAACTTTCCAGTCGGTACGCGCGTGTCTGCCGATGTTCCCACAAGCCCTGGTCGCAGGGAGCGCCAGCAACAGGCAACGCGACGTGGATCGCCTCTCCATGTCCCGAATTGGCTTCGATGAACTCTTCTTCACCCCTGATGTTCTTGCCTACACCCTCCGCTGGCTCCGGTGAGGCATGTTTCATATCTGCATACTCCCGGACGGACTGAATTCCCGGAATAATGACGTGTTTGACATTCAAGAAAGGAACTCCAACCCGCCGAGCGATCTGTCAGAGTAGCCGTTTATGATCAAGCATCTCCAGTCTCGTTCCGCGGTGCCACCACTGCGGAATGATTGCATTTATCTTCGTTTACCATTTCGTCAACCCCCACCACCTTCACCTTGTTCGTAGCCAGTTTCTCCATGGCCTTGACCAGTTCCCGGAAAATGCTCTCGTTCTGTTTGATGAAATTCTCGGGGCTCTCCTGCCCTTGTCGAAGCCCGCTAAGTATGAATTGGACCTCCAGACCAGTTGAGGCCTCACCGATGTCACATGTTCCCTGGATAGTTTGAAGAATAGGCGCAGCATTATTGCTGACCTCCTTTCTGTTCGGACGTGTGTCGCCTGTGTTTGTCACGCTTAGAACGAGAGGTTGGATCGGTCCAGGCAAACTGTCTTGGGGTATCGAAAAAACAAGAGCGCGCCCGGATGAGCTGGCTGTTCTGATTACGCGGACTGGCATCTGCTCCTCTGAAGAATCTCGCGCCACGTCCTCAAGTCGCAGGCTTACGCCGTCCACGTTGGGTTGCTTCATGATAACCCCGTCCGTTTCTGGCTTCAGCTCGACAGGTGAATAAACGATATGCACTGCTTCTGCCATGTCGGGGCTGATTTCCGTCAACAGCCAACCTCTGATGCGGGCGTGAGCGGTCTCGATGGAGGAACAAAGATCGTCTGGTTTGTCGTCACTTAGCGCAGGCCTGTACTCGACAACAACCAGGTCCGTGTCATGATCAGCTCGCTTCAGCTCCGCGCTCCAGCCTGAAAGCTGCTCTTCGAAGTGGCCCTCAGAGATGGGGAGGATTTTCACCTTTCGCTGGTTGAGTCCCTTTACGCGATGGTATTCAATCACAGCGCCCACCCTCCACGACCTATCAACGGAGCCACTCCCTTTCTGGCCAAGCGCTCCTGCAGTTTCAGTTCTGTCATACTCCTCGGTTATCCAGAGCAGCTCTTCGCCAGGCATCAGGTCACCGCTGACTTTCCGAAGGCATTCAATTTTATCCTTGGCCAGACTGGCGTTCCCGTTCGCCATGGACAAAAGTATGGCTTTGCCCCTCCTCTCCTGACTGGGCTGATCGAGCTTCTTGACCAGGAGAGGATCTTGAAATCCGCCATCACAGAGAAAGCCGTCAATCTCATTCTGCTTGATGAGGGCGTCCCACATCTCCACAGTCGCGCATCCGCCGATAAGGATGCGTACAGCCTCGGCCGCTTCAATATTCATGAACCCGCGGATTACCTTTCGTATGTGCCCAGCTGTGTCTACTAGGTGATTGGGCGGTAGTACGCCGTTCTGCAGCAGTGGAGGCTCGTAAGCGATAACTATGTTTCGCAAGTCCTGTCCCATCCCACCGATAATTTCCTTAAGTTGCGCTTCACAGAGACGCTTCTCGTCCTCGAGCTTATAAGTGACATTATGGTTCTGGTCGTCTCGCGAATCTTTCTGTCCAAGCCGCAGTACGACCCGAAGACCGGAGCGCATAGCTAGTGACACATCTCCACGAACAACCCTGTTCCACTTAGAGCAGACATCTTCCCCATTGCTAGAACCCATCTCCGGTGGCCCGGCCTGGAGCAGAACGTAGGAAATCCCTCCCTTCGTTGGGCCCTCGCAAGTAACTTCGGCGGAAACGGCCGGTGCCGCGAGTTCGATTCCCTCCGTTTTAAACTTAGTTCCCTTCGTCTTCCGAAGCTCCTTGAGCTCCATGCAGACGACCACGTCTAAGCAATCTCGGCTTCTGTTTGCATGAAAATTTGTCAGGCACTTGTCCACATCGTTAGACTCCCAGCTGTCGACCACTAAGAACCTCCTTCCCCTCAAGCATCTCTCCCACAAGTTTCCAAAGGCATATTCACACGCCCTTCGGAATCCGTGAAACCGCGTGGAAAACTGCTCGATATCCACTTGGTCGACTGCCACCTCGGCAAGGTATTGCTCCATGTCACTCTCCATTTCTGATATCAAACTCCACAGCCAGCGAGGGCACAAAGAATCTCGCTTCTTCACTTCCGTGATGTACCACTTCCATTCCCTATTCGCTCTCTTTATCGTTTCAATTCGCCGCTGGAAAAGTTGAGGTTCGTTCGGTGACAAATTACCCAGATCCGGTTCGTTCGGTGGCGAATCTCCAGTTGACTGGATTCGAATGCCTATGCCATCTACATTGGGCTGCTCCATGATTTCCCTCTGCAACTCTGGAGCTAGCTTGTCCAGGGAACAAACAATACGCACACGTTCTGCGGCGCCCGGGCTTATGTTCGTTAGAATCCACCTTCTGATGCAGGCGTGAGTGGCCTCAATAACTACGGGAAGATGATCTCGCGCAGGTCTGTACTCGATGACGACAACCTCCTCGCCTTCACGATCAGCTCGCTTCAGCTCCTCTATCAACCATCGAAGCTGCCTATCTATTGCCTCCGTTAGCTCCTCTCCAATGCGTCCGTCCGAAACAGGGATGATCTTCACCTTACGCCGCTCGTTTTCATTCGAAGAATGGTCACTTATAATAGCCTCCTCTATTCGAGGCATCGCGGCGTCCGCGCGAACGTCATCGGGACTATCGCTTCTTACGTTCGCCTTAGTCGTCCAGACCACCTCTTCTCTGCCCGTCTGATCCTGGCTGAGCCGCTCAAAGGCATGCTTGCCCAGTGTGGCATTTCCGTTTGCCCCGCTGCAAAGCAAGATTTTGCCCGTCCTCTCTCGACTGGTATGATCGAGTTTCTCGACGAGGAGAGGGTCTCGGAACCCACCTTCGAAGAAAAAGCCGTCAATGTCGTTCTGCCGGATGAGGGCATCCCACATCTCGAGCGTCGCGCATCCGCCTAAAAGGATGCACGTTGTCTCGGCCGCCTTCGTACTCACCAAATCCCCGATGACCTTTCGTATGTGTCGAGCCGTATGAATAACCTGACTCTGCTGCAGCGCGGCAGCGCTCTCTCCATGCAATGACGATGGCCAAGACACATACGGTGGAGGCCAATAAGCGACAACTACGTTTCGCCAATCGCGGACAATCGGACTGATAATGCCCTTAAGCTGGGCTTCACAGTAACTCTCCTCCGCCATCAGCTCCGGAGCCAGGTAGCTGTTCTTTCCGGCCTGACAATCATCTCGTCCAAGCCGCAGTATGACCCGAAGACCGGCTTGCACAGCGACGGATACGTGCTCACCAATGACCTTGTTCGACTCCAAGCAGAGACGTCCGCCATCCGCCGAAGGCCATACGGGACATGCCGAAAGCAGCACGTAAGGGATGCCGTTCTCTTTTAAGACTTCAGGAGAAGCACAGAGTGAAGAGCCGCAATCTGCGGCAAGATCGATACCCTTGATTTCTGCGTTCTGTTCCTTTATCTTCCAAAGCTCCCGGAGCCGCATGGAGACGACAACGTCACAAAGACCTAGCCTTCTGTTTGCCAAATTCTTAAGGCAGTCGTCAACGTACGTGGACTCCCAGCAGTCGACCACCATCAACCTCCTTCCCCATAGCGACCTCTCCCACAGCTCTCCGAAGGCATATCGGCACGCCCTTCGGAAGTCGTCAAACCGCGCAGTAAATTCCCCCGGCTCGACGCGACCACCCAGCGCCTCGTTGCCCAGCCATCGCTCGAAATCACGCTTCCATTCTAATATAGTGCTCCACAGCCAACGCGGGCATGAAAACTCTCGCTTCTCCACCTCGTTCATGTACTGCGTCCATTGGTTTCTCGCGGTGCTTATCTCCGCGCTTCGCCTCTCGTGCAAAGTGAGCTTCTCGTTGAGCTGTTTCCAACACTCGACCACCACTGGAGGTCGTTCCCACGTTTTTTGAAGCACAGCAGCCGTTGACGACTGTCGCTGGTCAAGGCCGAGAATCCCGCATCGGTCAATCCTGAGCTTGGGGAGAACGCCCTTCCGCCCTGCCTTCACCGCTACTGTGCCGGCTGGTATGTGTAGTTTTCCAGCTTTCTGAAATTCATATACGTGCAGACACATCTGATCAGACTCTTGATTCCGCGACCAATACTCGAGAGGTGGCAACACGTGGTCCGTCGGTCTTGTATTATCCACGTACTGGCGGTGATGCCCTCTCTTACAGTCGAAGTACTCAATGGTGAAGGGATGCCCCTCGCTAACTTGCTCACTGTAATCAGCAAAGAGCGCTGCCCCCCGCACAACCGCTTCGTCTTGAAAAGGATGGGCCTTGGGCTCTATGTGGAGGCCCGTCCTAAGCATCTCCACGACGTCGAGAATGCGTGTCGATCCACCAACCAACACAACTTCCCTGAGTTCCCTCACATTGCCTGCATCCAAGACCAGACGGACGCACCTCATGCACTCTTCGCGCAAACTCCTACATTGTTCATGAAATTCTTTGCGGGTAACCATCACGTTGAGATCGTCATCGCCGCGGAAACTCTCAACCAGCACCGGAGCGTCTGTAAGCAAAGACAGATCCTTCTTCGCTTTTTCGCTCGCTGTCTTCAGCCCCACCAACGTGCTGGCGCTCAAAGTGGTAGTCCGACGAGACGGCTCCTGCTTTCCATAAAGTAGTAACTCCATCATCTTGTGGTCAAAATCCATTCCTCCGAGGCTTGGATTGCCTTCCACTGAGTCGACGGTGAGCTGCCTGCCACAAATCGTAATGAGAGCGACTTCAAAGCTTCCTCCACCCAGCGAGAAAACAAGGATCTTCGTCCTCGCTTGAGTTCCGACGTCAGAGCAGCTGCCTAAGGAGATTAACCCTGTGTGCTGGGCATAGCACAAAGCAGCCGCCGTCGATTCGCTGACTAGCTGCACATCCGTGAAACCTGCGAGCTCGGCCGCCAATTTGGTCGCGGATCGCTGCCTATCGCAATAGAGCGCTGGCACGGAAATGACAGCCGCGTTCAGATCGTCGTACCCAAGAAAAGCCTCGGCATCACTCTTTATCTTTGCGAGAAGCATCCCTATAACCTGCTCAGGCAATAAGAACCTCGTGCCATCATCCTGGGTACGCGACCCCGTGAACAATCCTTCCATTCTCGTCTTTGTCTGATGTCCACAATCGCTCATCAAAGAGGACAACAGTCCACTCTTCACCTCCAACAACACCTCGCCCGATTCTCCCTTAGCGATGGTGAATGGCCACCATTTCTTGTCCTCTTCAGTGATCCGGTCGTACTTCCGTCCAAGAAGGCGTTTGACCTCGTATAGCAAGTTCCCCGGTCTTCGCACCGCCTGACTCTGTGCTTGCTCTCCCAGTAAGCGCTTCTTGTCTGTGAATGCGACACGAGATGGAGTCGAGAGTTTTCCTCCGGAATCCGGTATGACACGGACCACCCCCCCCTGACACACCGCCGCTAAACATGACGACGTACCAAAGTCAATCCCTATACGCGGTCGCGCGTCACCGTCACTCATTTCAATCTGCTGGGTAGAAGACGTATCAAGATTGGTCCCAGAGTTGCTGGATTGTGAACGAGTCACATGTCCAGGCGTTGGCTTTCCTTTCCACAATCGCTTGGCAAACATCTCAATTTTCCACTGAAGTTTTTTCCGATTAACAATCCGTTCCTTTGTGGGTTGCTACATGTCTTCTGTCTAACCACAGCTCCCGTGGCGTTGGATCTTACAGCTAATTCCAGTCCTCCGCTCTCAATCCACCTCTCCGTTTCCTCTCGTTACAGCAGTCTTCCGCTCTCTAACGACTCTCAAATCCTGTCGTCATTCAGAAAAATATGCCCTTAATGAGGCACTGACCACGGTGACCAATATTGACCTTACTCTAAATCTTCTCGCTGCTCGTTTTCCTCCTCAAAAGAGAGGAAAAAGGAAACACCTTGTCCACTCCCTTTGGCTAAGAGCAAGTCTACAGTTTCTTTCACGTGCCACCACAGAGTCCGCACTCCCTTCGCGGCCCTCCCCTCGTTTCTGCTTCGACCACCACTTCCACTTTTCTACAAAATAATTTTATCACTACGCTCGAACCGCTAACGTTGCCAAACTCAACACGTTCCCCCTACCTTTCTCTTTTCTTCTTTCAACCTTGGAGAGAAGCCTGACGATCGAGAATGCTCTGAAACCGGAGCAGCCGAGACCACTTCAAGAGGACCGCAGATCGATTAATCTTCCAACCTGAGACAGGTACGCCATCAAACCACAAGCGACACAATTAGTCGAGTCAAGTGCTAACACCATGCCCGTTCTCTCCAACAACTCGGCTTCGTTCAGACCCAATCTGAAACTCAAGCGCAACAGAAGCGCACTGCGGGGACGCGTCCAGCATCGAATACGGACAGCGCCGGTAGCCGACTTGCGGCGAAGATTAACAAGCCCTAGCTGCTTGTGCCATCAACGCGTGACAGGCACTGAGAAAAAACTCTCTCTCTCTCTCTCTCTCTCTCTCTCTCTCTCTCTCTCTCTCTCTCTCTCTCTCTCTCTCTCTCTCTCTCTCT